TGATACGGGAGAGAGTGGGTAGGTTTGGTGGCAACAAGTTGAGGGAGTTCCCCATAGCACAGCTTCTAGTTTCTCAATGAAATAGGAGGCAGAGTCATTGCTGAGAGTGAGACGGGGTGACAAGGTCAAGGTTTGGAAGTACAGCTTCGAAAAAGCCCCCTGATTGTTCCCCAAGAGGCCGCCCCATTGCTTTGGTACTCACTACTGTGAGGTCAGCATCACAGAACCTGTCACTCAGCCCTAAGACTCGGAAGCCTGACTTTGCCAGCCACAGAAATAGGCTCCATCTCAGGGGTGGGCTCCCACTGCCCAGCTTCAGGAGCCTGACGTACATGCCTGGCAATGCCAGCACAATGCATGGACAGAACAAATACAAGGAGAAATTGATCTGTCTGCCTAACCAGCAATTCACTCCTTGCAGAAGACCTACAGGGAACTACACCATCATCAGAAGGATATTAATCAGATAAACTGAATGTTAAATAGCATCAGACTGTCCCTAGGCTAAGATTCCCTTCTCCTGGGAGTGGTACCTTCGCCTAAGTCTCTTCTTTTTCTATGCCTGCAGGGCTGGCCGATCCTCGTGGACGGGCACTTTTTTTTTTTTTTTTTTTTATATATGCTAGAAAATTCAATCAGGTTGAGGTCTCCCTGGCCCTGGAGCCATTTTACCCCTCCAGAAAGGTGCCTTTGTCTATCTCTTAGCTCATCTAGTCTCAGTGAATAGGGCCACAGCCCCCAGCACAAACAACAAATTCCCTTTCACAGCACAGAATTGGGTAAAGTTGGAATAAACACTTACCATGCACTACTAGGGGTTGATTGTAAGCCTCAGAGCAGGGGGACTGAATGTGCCTTGTTCAATGCTGTAGCACAAAGGAGTACAAACTTTCTCTGTAAAGGGCCAGGTCTCTCCTGCAACTACTCAACTCGGCTGTTGTAGCTCCAAAGCAGCGAGACAATATGTAAATGAACAGGTGTGGCTGTGTTTCAACACAACTTGATTTACAAGCAGCGAGACAATATGTAAATGAACAGGTGTGGCTGTGTTTCAACACAACTTGATTTACAAAAACTGGTGGCCGGCCTGCAGGGGGACCTCAGTTTACCCCCTCCCCACCCTCAATGTGCTAGCACCTAGCACAGCCAAGCACATGGTGAGTGCTCAATATTTGTAGAAGGACTGACTGAAGGCTTTCTCTCTATCATGACTTCCTTGTTTCTGCAAAATTCCTTCCCATACTGGTATAAACACTGGATTGAGCAGACATGCGATCTAAGGTTAGCATGACTTTCAGAGCTTTCCAAGTGCGTACATACAGTTGCAAATGGATCACTCCATTACTAAAGACTTCCATCCAAGTTATTGGACTTTTCAAAAATGGCCTGATTCTGATCGCCGTACCAGCCAGCCACCAAAAAAAAAAAAGGACTGAATATTCTCCTTAATTGGGTAGCTGCTTAGAAGACTGTACTCTTGTTTGGAGCCTAGTGTCTTGCCTGCAGACTCATGGGCACTAAGCCTTAGACTCCAACTTCTTGGGGACAAGAACTATGTTTTCTTCTTTCCTGTTTCCCTCTGTATGTTACTCAGAGCAGGGGCTCAGTAAATACTCATTCAGCTCTTAGCTTGTCTCTGTGTTTGTCCAATCATAGGTCATTTTTCCCCTCTATACTTTTTCTATTTTTCCAAATTTTCTACAATTATTCATTTAGAAACAACAAAATTGAAATCTGTGTTAGAACAAAACCAGAGAGTTAATAAAATAACCAGAGCAATCTGTCAACCTCAGAGTTTACTTTTCCCTGTTCTGGATATAAGCCTCTTCATGGTTGTAAATGTAAAACTCTTCTTATGATAAAGGGAAGAGACAGGAGCAGTTCAGTTCTGACTCCATAAATGCTGCTGTTTGTCTTTTGACTTCTACGAAGAGATCATTATCCTATTTGTGGTAGCAAATAATTAAGACTATTTACAAATCTCTCATGTAAACTCACTTGCTGAGAATATTCTCAGCCACCTGGGCCTCTGCTGAGGGTGCGGTAATATACATACACCAACCTCTGCTTACAGAAAATCTGATCTAGAATTCTCTAGCCCATTAAGAACAATGTGGAGAGAATATGATTGCCTCCTAAAGAGCAATTTTTCAAAAACTGACCTCAAAGAGTCTAAAATAATGACTATCTCACCAACATTAGTTCCGAATTTGGAAGAAAAACACTGCTGTATCAGTTAGTTAAATGGGTTTACACATCTCATGTTTGTCAAATATCCGGTGATTTCTGTGAAAACCATTGGACTGGAGGGTCTCAACACTGGCTGAGGCAGGAGACTTAAAATCAAGATGCAGTGCTTTTCAAACAGAGATCCCAGGGCCTTCCCATAAATCTGGAAAAGACCAGGATGCATTCATTTTTATATCCCAGAGGCCAGCACCGTGTTCAGAGGTGCTCAACAAATATTTGCTGGACAAAGTTGGTGACATGGCTCCCTCTGGGATGGGTAAGGGAACTAAGGTTTGAGGGTTTAGGAACACTCACTTTACTGTTTTGTACTCTCAGAATTTTTACCATGGTTTTTTTTTTTTAAGGTCCATTTAAAAAATATCATTTATAAGGGCTGGCCCGTGGCTCACCTGGGAGAGTGTGGTGTTGATAACACCAAGGCCACGTGTTTGGACCCCTATATAGGGATGGCCGGTTAGCTCACTTGGGAGAGCATGGTGCTGACAACACCAAGTCAAGGGTTAAGATCCCCTTACCGGTCATGTTTTAAAAAATATATATATATAATTTATAATTAAAACAGCTAAAATAATCTAAACCCTATTAGATCAAAATAATTATACTGTTATATTTAAGTATATGTAGATTATGAAAGCTGTTCTGTAAGATAAAACAAACTATATATCGTTCTAGTAATAATGGTCTTAAGGGATAGTGTTAAAGTGGAAATAATAATTGCAAACATTTAGTTAGCACTTACTAGGTGCTAGGGAATATTCTAAGTGTTTTATATATATATATATTAAATCACTAATCTTAACAGCTCTATAAGGGGTAGCAAAGATAACTCACTTTACAAATGAAAAAACTGAAGCACAGAGAGAAAATGAGGCAGCCTATCTAAGGTCCTATAAGGTAATGAATGGAACTGTCTGACCCAGGAGCCTCGGTGGTCAGCCAATGCACCACACCGTTTCGACTAATATAGAATGGGAAACATGTCCAGTCCTAAAGCTCTCCATTGGTATAAGTAGACTGTCACTGAGGAAATTTAAACAAATAAACATCTGTTGAATGAATAAACAAAATCATCCTGGGGAGGGCCGGCCCGTGGCTCACTCAGTAGAGTGCGGTGCTGATAACACTAAGGCCACGGGTTCGGATCCCATATAGGGATGGCCGGTTTGCTCACTGGGTGAGCGTGGTGCTGACAACACCAAGTCAAGGGTTAAGATCCCCTTACCGGTCATCTTTAAAAAAAAAAAAAATCATCCTGGGGAAGCTCAACTGGCATCTTCCAAAAGGGATTTGGGGGAAGGGGAAAAGGAGGACATCCTTGGGACAGCCAGGCAGGACCCTGCATGAAGGATCTGATTTGGGGCAGGACAGGTGTCCCCTGGGTTATCTCCAGTCTTGTTTGCAGTTTCTGTCCCAGTGAGATGGAATTGGCTCATCTCAATTACCTGCGTGGGCAGGGAATTTTGTCTATCCTGCCACCAACAGCTAGAACAATACTTAGCAGTTAGTAGGTGCTCAATAGATACTTGACTGAGTGAATCACAGCAAGTGCTCTGCCCGTGGCCTGCTGTAGTAAGAATCATGGCTGTCGGGGCCGGCCCGTGGCTCACTCGGGAGAGTGTGGTGCTGATAACACCAAGGCCACGGGTTCAGATCCCACATAGGGATGGCCGGTTAGCTCACTGGGTGAGCGTGGTGCTGACAACACCAAGTCAAGGGTTAAGATCCCCTTACCGGTCATCTTAAAAAAAAAAAAAAAAAAGAATCATGGCTGTCGTGTGCTGAGAAGTCTGTCTGTGCCATGAACTTGGTAACAGCCCTGTGAGGGCAGACACACTGTTATTCCCCACTTACCTACGGGTGACTTTGCAGAGGGACCCACCAGGGCTCTTGCACACCTTTATCAGAATGATTGACTCTAGTGCCCTTAGATAGAAGTAGCCACCACCACTGCCATCAGAACATGACTCACCTGATATGCAAATACATTGAAAAAAAGCCTAAAAGATAGAGCACACTGGGATCTGCACAGGCCTGAGTCTTTTACAATGAAAAAATATTCACATCTTAAAAAAGGTAATAAAGTGAGTAACTCTTTATATATCAATAGGTCTGGAATCGCAGGGCAAACGATGATACTTTTGTCTCCCAAAACAAGTTTTCTTTTTTTTTTTTAAAAAAAGATGACCAGTAAGGGCCGGCCCGTGGCTCACCCGGGAGAGTGCGGTGCTGATAACACCAAGGCCACGGGTTCAGATTCCATATAGGGATGGCCAGTTTGCTCACTGGGTGAGCGTGGTGCTGACAACACCAGGTCAAGGGTTAAGATCCCCTTACCGGTCATCTTTAAAAAAAAAAGATGACCGGTAAGGGGATCTGAACCCGTGGCCTTGGTGTTGTCAGCACCACACTCTCCCAAGTGAGCCACGGGCTGGCCCTCCCAAAACAAGTTTCCTGAGGGTCACACATCTGAACAGTGTCCTCATGCTGGTGGGAGGCACCCACGGTTTGGCACTGGGGTGGACTTTCTTAGGGTTTTCTGGCGTGTCCTCTGGGGGGTGCATATCATTTCAACAAGAGTCTTGCCGTGAACGCCCTTGTCCAGAATCCCAGAATGAGAAACCCGAGTTTTAGCAAAGGGGCCCTTCCCAGCCTCCGCTCCGACGGCGCCCAGCCCCGGCAGCTCCGGGCACGCCCGGGGGTCTCCCGCTGGACCCGCCCCCGCGCCCGGGCCCCGCGCCCCCCGCACGCACCTTGGATGGTCCTCTTGAAGAAGGCCTTGCAGGCCTCACAGGAGGCCACGCCGTAGTGGTAGCCGGAGGCAATGTCCCCGCACACGAGGCACAGGCGCTTGGGGATGGCGTTGAGCATGTACTCGCACTTGATGGCCGAGTCCTCCATGATGCCGCTGGCACAGTCCTCGTAGCCCTTGCGGCACGGCGTGCCCCCCAGCCCCGCGCCGGCGAACACGGGCGGCGAGTCCAGACCGCTGGCGTGGGTGCCCAGGGCCAGGCCGAAGCCGCCGCTGGCGTCGGACGAGCCACTGGGGCTGTGGTGGCTGAGGGCATCGATGCCCGCGGA